TACGTTTTTTTTTTTGGTGTTTTCTGGAGCTTGATAGTAAAATGGCCATCCACTTGCATTGATTGGAAAGCGTCAGCTCCATTAATATCTTTGCAAGATGTCTTCTTTTGTGTTACGTCTTTTCAGACGGGTTTGGAATGACATGAGGATGAATAAACAACAATTTTACTGTTTGCATGAACTAACCCTTAAAAGCCCTCATTTATTCATCCGTGCCTCTGAATATCTGGCCATATATTTGAGTTCAGTCTTGGTTACGTTCGATGATGTGGCTAAATGATGCATGTTTGTTATTGTTCAGCCGTGACACTCGCACCCTCTTGAGATTCGCCGTGTTTAACTCCCACACAGCCGAGACTCTGATAATCTCCCACCATCAGCCACATTTCAAATTCTGCCCAAAACATCTCTCAAATAATGGCCTGTTACACAACCAGAAGGACTCTGGGAAACACCGATGCACTTTCAGATCAGTTTTGCTCCATTACGCTCTGAAATGCAGTGTGTCATTTTACGGGGAAATGTAATGTTTAATGCTGGAAGGCTGAGTGAGGCGCTTTATGTTAATAGCGCTGCATTTCAATGCTGTTTTGCAGCTGTTTATTGAATAAAAAGCGAGCAAGTGTAACAAATAGGATGGAAATGTTGTTTGAATGCACTGCAGGTATTTGGTAGCATTTTATCGTCTCTTTCCAAGGTTAAAATCAAGTCTCATTTTAATTCTATTTTTTTATTTTTTTTCCGTCGACTTTAACCAAATTTGAGAGGTTTAAACAAAGATCACTTTAGTGGTTATTGCACGTTTAAATCCAGCTTGCAACCTTTTCTGATTCAGCTTTCCCATATTTTTGTTCTTTTTGTGTTATATTATAAATATATAATGTATATTTATAATATAAGTGTATATAGATAGGGTGAATTCAGGTCGGTTGGGTCACTTTTTTTGACATTGAGATTTACACATTTATTTCTGTTTAAGGAGAACAAAAGTTATCTTTTCACCGTCATTTAAGTTTAGCTGCGGTTCACACAGTTCACGGTGGGTGTTCAACTGATATTTTCTGTGACGTGTGTGTGTGTGTGTGCAGGACGGAGAGCAGTTTGTGAAGAAGATCGGAGGTGTGTTCGCCTTCAAGGTGAAGGACGGGACGGGAGGAAAGGAGGCCATCTGGATCGTTGATGTTAAGAACGGAAAAGGCTGCGTTCACAATGATGCTGGTGAGTCTGTTCTAAATGCAGACAGTATTGATCTGTGAATGGCTGACATTTTCCTGCTCATCAGTGTGTCAGGCTGCACACATCTGGATCAGGTGTAGTTACTTTACTTGAAAAAAGGCTGTACAAATTGTTTTTTGAGGTCATGGGTGGAAGGAGAGGTTCATTGTTGTTATTGTCCATTTTCCGGTGTGTTTCTGAAAACTGCAAATGGTTATCAGAAAAACTGCTCTGACTACACACACACATACTTGCATTTGTGGTTTATGGGGACTCTCCATAGGCGTAATGGTTTTTATACTGTACAAACTGTATTTTCTATCACCCTACACCTAAACCTACCCCTTACAGAAAATTACTGGCAATTTTTGAATTTCTTTCAACACCGTTTTGTATTTTTTTTTTAAGCCTTTTGTTTTACGGAGACACAGGAAGTGTCCTCATAAACCATGTTTACGTTGTAGTACCCATGTCATTATACACATTTGTGTCCTCATAAACCATTACAGTACACACACACACACACTCTCTTCCTACAAACAACATCAAAACCCACTTAAAATTAATTAAACTCGAATCAATTGACAAACAAATACATAAATGTGATTTTGAATAAATTATTTCTTTTCATCAGCTATTTTAAATTGTAATAATATTTCACATTTTTACTATTTTTACTGTATTTTTGATCAAATAAATGCAGCTTTGGTGAGCAGAAGAGGCTTCTTTCAAAAACATTTACACAATCTTGTCAACCTTAAACCTTTGAACAGAATTGTGTATGTATTAAGCTACAAAAAGCAAATAATTGGCACAATAAAAGGAGTATATATTAGCAGTGTTTTTTCTCAAATATAATAGCATGTGTTTTCTTATATAAACTAATTTATACTGTGGAACAGTTAACATTTATATGAATTAAACAATTGACTTTTTAATAATCAAGCAAATTTAAATG